CCCCCCCCCCCCACCCCCCTTGGAATTCGCTCTTAATTGATGTCTGTTATTTTACTCAATTGATGCCAAAGCAAGGAAGTTAACTAAACAACATTCCTGCAATTATTTTTATTGAATATTTGTAATAATTTAAATATTTATTAGAAATTCGGTTGTTAGAGCTCGAGGTCCAGATTTGCATAATACCTCTCACTAGAGGTTTTGTCTTTTCCTTCGCGCACGCTCGTGTTCCAAGATCCGCCATGTAAAGTGTAGTAAATGTATCTCAATACTAATCGTAATCAACACAAGCCTCTGCGGAGGAGAGAGCGATTGGTTAATCTTGTAGATTAAACGTATTTTGTAAATCGGGTAGATTAAATACACTTCAATTATTTTTGGACATCCAAAGTTTAATTAAGATATTGTAAAAATGTGTCATTTTCATATAATTTATATTGTAGTGGAAAGTATTGGCGAAGCTAATAAACTAAATAAAAAATAAATAAATACAGCACAAGCAGTTTTTTTATACCACCAACAGTTAACCATTATAGGCCTCCATTTATTAGCTAGGGCAGCCAACGAGTTCCTCGCGTGAATCAATCGAGGAATCAATCATTTGTTACCTTGCTAATGATTTCTATATATGACTGCATTTATACAAACATTCACGTCTTATCGGTCTAATCTGACCTAGGATTATATTTAGTCAACGAGGACACTGTATAGTCGTGTTTCAAAAGTGTAAAGTCAAGGAACTTATGATAGCTGGTTCGTTTCAGTATATCACTACCTTCAATGCAGTGTCTTCACGTGAACGTAACTGTTGAATTACGTTTGAACCGCGCCTAAGCGCACGTTATTCAAATTCCTAACAACGCTTCAAAAGTATGTTAATAACATGTGGTATCTTGCTGATGGCGATAGGGGAGCTGATAACTTTGATAAATGAGTGGCACTGCATTCCAAGCATAACTGAAAAGTTTTTGTAAACATTTCAAATTATTCCTGTATTTTAATACGCTCTCCAAATTAAAGTGCTAGTTTTAAATATCATCCGGCAAAGCTGTTCACGCATTATATTATTTCCATTTTTTCATATTCATTTTATATATTTTATAAAGATTTCTGTAGATGGACATTTTGAGTATAAATTGTATATTGTATAAATTGCTAGTATTCCAAAGGTCGTAGGTTCGAATCCCACCGTGGCCGGGCATATTTTTCAAGCTCGCCCGGTGTGGATATGCACTCAGAGTAACATCGCAAACATATTATTCACCTGAGTACACAACGTCAACACAGAAAAATTCAAATTGTATACATTTATAAGACCTAACCAAGGACAGCTGCGGAAAATACAAGTTTAGGCCCTCCTTCATGTATACAGTAAAACCCTGCATATAAGAACCTGAATTTTCCAAGTTAGCCTGACAGGTTCTTTTGTAAATGGTGCTTACAAAGGAAGTTAGGCTAAACAGGTTCTTAAATAGATTCCTATTTTCTTAAGAGAAAAGCGACTCATTTTGGGCTCGAGTTGAATTTCGCTAAGTGTGACAGTCGGTGCACATGCTGATCAACTCTAACAGGGAAGATAGATACTGAGTGACTAGATTGTTCACTGTATGTATTGATCTTGTGTTTGCTGTGATCCGCTGCAGCGCTCTAACCAACTGAGCTACAGAATCCAGTTGTCAACTGCAAGTTCATATACAGTAAAACCCCGCAAATAAGAACCTAGAATTTAAGAACCTGTCAGGCTAAAATTGCTTATTTAGACCCGCTTAAAATAAGAACCTGTTCAAGCTAGAATTTCAAAACAGATTCTTATATTATCGATAGAATCAAAATTCAGTTAATTAAGTCACCAGTTTCCATAAGTGTCGCTTTAATCAATTTTTGGTACGGCACGGTTAAAATTGGCACCCGTACCACTTTTTTGGTTCTTGGACTGCCTATTTAGCTAAGCCCCGTTTACACTACGCTCAATTTTTAGTACCGTACCACTTTTTTGGTTCTTGGACCAAGAACCAAAAAAGTGGTACGGGTACCAATTTTATCCGTGCCGTACCAAAAATTGAGCATAGTGTAAACGGGGCTTTAAAGTGCATAGGCTATAGGGTTGGTATATTGCGTGTACGGTCTTTTATTTTTATCATTTGTGCATAATTTATATAAATCATATACCATGACCTCCGCCAAATGATGTTGCAATCACTGATCCCAGATCAGTGGTTGCAAATAACACATCCATCATTGTGCGTGGGCTGGAGTCGTGGGCTTGGAAGAATCTTCGAAGGAATGCTTCGTAATTTCCGGTATCGTCGAAACCAGCAATGTGTTGTCACCAGCCGACAAAAAATACAATAGAAAGTGAAACTCGAAAAAACAAAACATCTTAATTGCATTTTTGTGAATACGAGAAGAATTGTTTGGAAGAAAATGGGCTTAAATTGAACTAAATTTATACTTCCTGTTTCTGAGCAAGTTATTCCTGTCCTAGAAAGTTTGTTTGAGCTTAGGCATACTTGACCAGGCAAGGAACGCTCTCAAGGAACAGACAAGGTCAAGCCATTTGTCCCTTTATTTGGCTATATTTACGATTAGGCTAAATTATTAAGTGTGATTTACGGTTTCATGTCATTGTATATGCTAGACCAACAGTTGACAATTACAAAGGTTTCCATCAAGGGTGGAAAAAATAGGCGAGCACGCGAGCACTGATCGCAGGAAATGTTAAACAGCTGCAGGAAATTCGTTTGAATGAAGATTTGCTATTGATATTTTCAAGGAAACCTTAACACCCATGTCCCACTATGGGCGCAACAACATATGGTTGACAGAAATTTTTCCTTGAATTTAACACCATGGTCAGCTAGAACACTATATCAACCAGATGATCTTGATACGCGGAAAAGTACTGGCATTAGTTGTCAAATAGAAATCCATTTTATGATTAAAACAACTGAATATTTCCTGTAATATACTTTATTTCGATTCCATATTTTTGTCAGAGCTATAGTTCTCATAACCAAACATAGTTACAAAATTTCAACTAGTTTCATAAAGAATAACGAAAGATATAATTGACTGAACACATCAAAATGGATTTCTATTCGGACAACCCTTTCTGAGCGCTGATTGGCTAAAATACGAACACGAGATCACCTGGGTATTGATCGAGTTTAGAGACAGTTTAAGACTCAAAAGATGAATTACCGTTCAGTTTTTCTCGTTACAACCATTCTGAGAGGAGAAAAATTGTCCACAAGTTGTTTGATTGCCCGTCATTTGGATGAAAAGTCACGTGATTGCAAACAAAGAATACAATATGTTGAAAGGCAAGCGTGGTAACCTAGACACCAAATGTGCTTAAAATGATGTCATCAATAAAGACGTTATCTTTATATAAGAGGGAGACCGAGCACTCACCATTCACAAGATTGTATTTCCGTGCAATGAGCGACGCCTGGACACTCTTCCCGCTTCCTGTGGCACCCAAGAGCAGGACGTTCGGAGTATGTGGAGCCAGGGAGTGTTGGTTACTGCACAGGTAGGATTGTACTGAAAGGAAAAGTACCATTTGTTCAGATCCAGTCTGGAATGGTTGTATATGTTGGGATGTATGGCGGTTGTATGATGGTTGTAAAGTACCATATATGTTCAGATCCAGTCTGGGATGGTTGTAAATGATTGTAAAGTACCATATGTTCAGATCCAGTCTGGGATGGTCGTATATGTATTATTATTATTATTATTATTATTATTATATGTTGGGTTGTATGATAGTTGTATATGGTTGTAAAGTATCATATATTCAGATCCAGTCTGGTATGGTTGTATATGTTCATAATTTGACACATCAACGGCATACCTTGTGAGAACACGTCAGCTTTAGGCTGATCTGCATTTATTCTCTTCACAATTTTGTTGTAACATGATAAAACGCCGTCAATGGTTCTGAAAATTAAATGCAGCAACAAATAATTTATTTAGGCCAAACAAAAAATGTCATGTGGTTCTGGTTTCGTAGGTAGGTCGGAAAACACTTTTTTGCGTGACATTGGTTAGCAAAGGCCATGGTTTGGCAATTTGCCAGAAGCATTTCACGAAGCAATGTTTGAAATGTTTTTAAAAGTGTTGTGGCAACTAAGACATATTTTAACATATACTGGGGTGGGAAGGGGCATTTGGCCCCGCAGGCCCCACTAGTTAGTGGCACAGACAGACACAGGGCCCTACTTGTGGTTCCGGTTCCCGACCGACCCTATTTTTTTCTGCCGACCTACCGACCCTAATTTTTTCACGATATGAAACCGGAACCACAGGTATTTTTTTTACGCCTAACCTTAACCTGAGTGATCAAAATCTTACTCTGGGGAGACCACACTTGACCCTAATCTCGGCCTCACATTGTAAAACATATAAAGCAGGACCCCGTTATTGGAGATTATCTCTGTGGTCAGTCCGTGGCTGTACTGTATTGTAAATGTATGTAATATTGTGTAATGGTTTAGTGGTATTTATGTTTGTGTGTGTGGCAAATCTTGTACAATAAAATAAAGCATGCACTGATGGCAATGGCAACTGATCACACCAATGGCATACTCACCTATGGTACTGATTCAGTCTTTGGATCATAACAGGTTCAGATGAATTTGTATCTGGCACCAGTCTCATTGCCACATCCACCTCACTGGCTGGGTCAAATGTTGCGTGATATATATCTGAAAATAACGCATCATATATATCACAATTTTAAAGGAATCCCATTATTAATTTCCTCGCACCACATGCTTCAATTCATTTGATAAAAGTAGTTCTATGAAGGTTCTCAGTTTATCAGCCGGATCTAAAATTTATTGTTTTTGTTTTCAGCACCCCACTGAGATGCCAGGATTCAAAGTTCTAGTATCCCATCTGAAAATCAGGTATCCCACTTCTGGATATTGGTTGCCATAAAATTTGGAACTCCGTTTTCAAATGCCAAAACTCTGTTTTCAAATGCCAGAACTCCGTTTTCAAAAGCCAAAACTCCGTTCTCAAATGCCAAAACTTCGTTTTCAAATGCCAAAACTCAGTTTTCAAATGCCAAAATTCAGTTTTCAACTGCCAGAACTCCGTTTTCAAATGCCGAAACTCCGTTTTCAAATTCTAGAACTACCTTTTCAAAAGCCAGAGCTACGTTTTCAACTGCCAGAACTCCGTTTTCTACCGATCCGAGAATGGTCTTGTCTAAATTTGGATCCGCTAAAAGCTCTACTATGAAGTCACAATCCAGGATGCAAACTAAATTGCAAGTCAAATCCACAATCTAAGCCAAAATATGATTAGATAAATCCGCAATCCGCTGCATAAAGGCTAGTTTCCACTCAGGAAAATTATCCGTGGATTGGAACGGACAAGAAAATTTTTCTTTGTGTTAAAGTCATTAGTTCCAACCCAGAGCTCACAAGACAAAGAAAGATTTTCTTGTCCGTTCCAATCCACGGATAATTTTCCTGAGTGGAACTAGCCTTTAATAAGATTCGAAAACCGTGTAAAATATTCGCCAGATCCAAAATCTGAACACTTTTTTTAAATATCAGACGCTGATCAGTACCTCCAGTTTGTGGATCAATACGTTTTCCAACAGCTCTTTCAATCAGCACTGTGTCTGGAGCATCCAACAAAACTGAAAAGTAAACTATCTTGTTATTTCATTCCGTCTAATGCCAGACAATTTTATTTGTGAATGGGGGAAAAGTGTTGGGTGTCAACTGTTCACGAGCTTACCAAAATGTCTTGGAATGATCCCAGCTACTTGCAATGCCAAGGCCTATGGAATCAAAGAATTGTAATATAGGAGTTATTCAATGATGGTAACTGTCATTGGGGGCATGCTAATTATCCATACTTGCCCCTGAGGGCTATAAGCTAAATTACGAAAGATACAGCTCGACCTGATCAAGTTCAAGGCTTTCAAAGGGTGACTCTGGCTGCCCGGCTGTCATCTTATGACTCATGTCTGATCGGGCTTTACCCTAACCCACCTTGATGACATTCCCTGTGGAAGGTAACTGGGGTGCCCAGACAAAACCCACGATTGCCAGTAGAAGCATTGACTGATTCTTCTTACATATTAAGTGAATGGGTCAGTAGCAAGAATCTCAGGAGTGAAAGATGCCTGCTGATGATTGCATCAAGAAGTTGTTATAAGCATCAGGTATTTACTAGTTTCCTACCTGTGACCTGTTTGATGGAAATCCTTCGAGAACCCAACCCTGTAAAATATAAAAATATTACACAATAACAAGTATGCTGCAATATACAATATACAAAAAATTTTGAGACTTATTCATATTGGCAGCCTTCATTGCAACTCATAAATCTCGTCACATTTTCTCATTATGACAGAATATGAAATCACTTACTTGCTTGACACAATCACTTTTTTTTAGTCTTTCATGAATCAATGATATCCACAAGTCTGTTGGAACTTCCTAAAATAATTTGACATAAAACACATTAACCCATTAAAGTTACATTGCACACTAATGTGCCCCACTTTATTATTCTACTCCGTCTAACACCAGATGATTTTACTTGTCAAGGAGAGCACACTGGTGCTCAATGAGTTAATTATAGCTTGCTGCCCAGGTGTTAGTATAATGTACATAATGCCTGTCGTTACCTTTTTGGACTCAACATACATTTTTGCCTAAAAAAATTATTGAAAATTATAAACAAGATTATATGTCAAATATATAGCAGATGACAGGTGGGGAAATGCATCTGTCATATTTTGATCCATAAGTTATAATATATTTTAAGATAGTAACAATTTTCAGATTTACTTGCAAAATCATTGCAACCATCATAAATGATTGCAATTCTACCTGTTTAGCTTCAGGTGATTCCAGATCCACCAATAAATATTCCAGGTTTAAATGTATGCATCCAAGTGTCCTTGCCACTGTTTTGGCCTGAAATAGTTGAACAAACTTAATATAGTGATTCTGTATATCCTCACAAAAAAGTCCTATATAGGAAACCCTATAGGAATTTCGGATTATTTCTGTATCAATTACTTTACGAAACACAATTGGCAAACACTATAGTTTTCTCTCAGTATTTGGTAGTAACACTAGATCACTAAGGGATCATTACCCCTAGTGGATCTCTGAAGAGAACAATTTAGAACTGACGCCGAGCTATCTAAATACATATATATACAAGTCAGTTTAGTTAAAAATATAATTACCATTGTTCTTTTCCCAGAAGCTGGAGGTCCTTGAACAATTATATGTGGAGCTAAAATAAATAAAGTTTGAACGATTACAGCTGTAAGCTGTATTTTTTGTCCATACCTAGTCAATCTGATAAAAAAAGGAAAGCTATCTGAAAGTACAATCAAACCTCGCCTTAATGGACGCCTCTAATACAGATTGATACCTCTATCATGGACAGTATTCCGACATATATATAGTCTCTTTCAAAAATTTCTATATGACGACAATGTAGGCAAGTTGTGTGCTTGATTTACACATAGTGGCGTAGTCAGCCCGACAATTTAGTCCCGCTATGCAAATTCAAAATTATTATCATTATTCATTTCTTTAGAAATTGATTGTTTTCACAGTGAATGAACACAAAAATATTTGCATAGCGGGACTAAATCGTTGGGCTGGCTACACTACTGTTTACACACTAGTGTACAACTCAAGTTGTAAGCTGGTTGCATGCGACAGTTTTAGGCAAAAGATATGTGTAGCGAAAAGCCTCGGTCAAACGAGGATGAGAGTTGACGAGAGTTACAACTCTTGCTCGAGTTTGACCATGTACCAACTATCATCGACTCTCATCAACTCTGAGCAGGTTCAAACTTTGACGAGAGTTGACAAGAGTTTTATAGTGACACTTTGTTATGCCTGAATGAAAGTTTATTCTCCATAATGTAATCTATGTTTTACTGCTAGTAACCTTTTTCATCTTGTTCAAGAAGGGTAACCAGAAATTGCAAAGGGTCATCTGGTTGATGGATAACAAGTTGTTTTATGAGATGCTAGAAATATACAAACAAAAACAAGATACAGTAGTATATACTAGTAAATAATATTTACATAAAAGTTTAAAAATCTGACAAAAATGTCATTTCTAAGAATACTTCTATATTTCTAATAGCATACTTTTAAACAAGTTATAAATAATTTTATTAAATTTACCAGCGATAATCAAAGCTTACAGATCCTAGAGTTTAATATATCCAAATATGTAAACATATCGATCAGGTCAACTTTGACTTGCTGTATCATAAAATCAAACATTAAAACAAGAAATCGCATACCATACCTCGACAGTCTCAAAAATTTCGTATTTCTCAGCGTAGTTAGAAAACTCCGGCGGAATAAGCAGAGGTTTTTTGGTTGCATCCATGATCGACAAAAATATACGGTAATTTTTTCACAAAATTTCAAAGTTTATAGCAACCAAACATACACTTGAGCCTGCGTTCGGGATGGACATAGCGTGGATGTCGTCATAGCAACCAGCATGGCAACAGCTTGGCGGTTTTCCCGCTATTTTGTAAATTTTGCCTTTTTATTCGAAAATTTTAATAGTTCATCTAGTTTTGCAAAATTTTCAAATTAGTTGTATATTCTTCACATCAAAAAAGTAGTTAAAAATATCGTAATTTTCAAATTTTGTATTATTTTTGGGTTTCAATACTCGTCCCCAGCTTTTATGCGGTTTTCAATTGCTCGCGCGATCGCCCTAGTTGCCATGCCAACTTTAAAGCCCAAATAAACACAGCAGGTTTTGTGCAGTAAAATACTGTTGTAGCCAAACAGCTCGCTTATTTTGGTGTAAACTTAAGACGAGGAAACTAGAGCGAAATATAGAAAAGGTAAGTTATATGTTAGCAATTTTTTTGAAATATCCAGAATTATAAACAGGATTATTATTAAAAGGCACTTTTAAAATTCTTGAAATCATTTGGTAATTTGATACTTTTGAAATCATTCGAATCATATATAGCATTCTAGCCCATTCTTTCTGAATTGAGTAGCATATATGTTTTTTTAGCAACCTATAAAGTCTTAGCGTATTTTATAATGTATTCTGTACTAAAGAGTGCATTTTAAACAGTATTTTAAAATATTGGAATACGAATTCAATTGAATCATGTTTCACTAAGCTTTCTTTGTCTTTCTGTTTAGATATCAAATTAAGAATTGAGCTGAAAATGACAACGCTTGGTATACAACGAGAATCTCTTTTGAACAATCCATTACTTCAGAAGGTATTCACGATTCACAAATTAAAATATTTTAGCAGATATAAAATACTTTTCATTCCATATTGGAATTGTAGATATTTCAAATTTCAGTATATGTAGCATTTTTGCATGTAACTAATCTGGGAATAACCATATTCTATAGAGTGAACTTGGAAGACCACTGAAACGCTGTTTCACTCTGCCACCTGATGGCTTTACATATGGCAGACCAAACCTCTACACAGGAAACGGAGCTGCCGGAGGTAATTAATAAAGTTAATTAACAAGTGACGATGTTATTGTCACAATTTGTGTTTGTATTTTAATATCAACGAGAGAGCACAACAGTTTGAACTTAAGCCCTATAGTGTGATCACTCGATCTTGTATCATTGTCTCATTTGCACTGGAGTAAATTAGGATTAATGCCCTATAATTACGTTATAGCTACATGGATTTTAAGATGCGAGTTCCAACATTGCCTTTTCATAATTTGTCTGGTATCAGCTAAGATTATGCTAAGCTGTCAGTCAAAACTATGGAGAATGTCAATAGTCTGTTGACTCCATTCTCTGCTCACCAGGAAACCATGGGAACAAGGTCACCCAACTATACTCATATACAATCTCTCATGTTTTGAAATGAACATTGATTAAAATCAACATTAATTTTTCTTGTAGCTCTTTGCTCCTGGAATGTCGTTAGGCCGAGTGCGGCAACACAACCTCAGGAACGCGATTTTGTCAAATTAAATAAGATGGCCGTCCAAGCAGGCTTGACGTCAGCACCTGAACAGTATCAATTCAGAGCTACTCATGATGTGAAAGTATCATCTGCATCCAAAGATAGGTCATTGAATAAATTAAAGAAAATCCCACCTTCAATGGTGTTTGGTGTTCCAACAAGGTAGGATGAGAGGGCAATATCTTATGGACTTTCTGACCATGCCCACACCTAAATCCACAGTATCACACCTAATGATAAAGGCCTAATGACCACGCCCATTGACCACACCCACATTCACTGTACAGTGCCTACCACACCCACCTACATCACTCAACTACCACACACACTTACACCACACCCACCTACACCACCTAACCACAACACCCAACTACCACACCTAACCAATGCAACATCTAACCAATGCACCCACCCACCCAACTACCACACCCACCTACACCACACCCAACTACCACACCCACCTACACCACACCCAACTACCACACCCACCTACACCACACCCAACTACCACACCCACCTACACCACACCCAACTACCACACCCACCTACACCACACCCAACTACCACACCCACCTACACCACACCCAACTACCACACCCACCTACACCACACCCAACCACCACACCCACCTACACCACACCCAACTACCACACCCACCTACACCCAACTACTACACCCAAACACCACACCCAACTACCACACCTACCTACCACATAGGTTCAGTGAGTGCAGTCTTCAGCCTGTCCCCCCCCCCCCTTCCAAACACACCCACCTAATATTGAGTGCCTCAGTTGCTCCCCCTTCAATGCTGGCTGCTGAATTTCTCAAAAGAAGGGATGAAATGCCTTGATAAACTATATGAAACTGAACCTTTTTAATTTCTTGCAGACCTTCAACACCAGTGTTTGATCTCCTGGCACACAAATATCAGGAGAAATGGATCGAGGAAAGACGAAGAGCTGAAGAGGCATTGAGAGCCAAACAAGACCAAAAGGTAAATAATCTGTTTACTATCTTTTAAGACTGGTTTAAACTATCAAAGGTTTTGAAGGATTTGTAAGAAATATTTGAGGGAACTGACTTAGTGTTTAACAGTGAAACAGTTTCCTCAAACATTTCTTACAAATCCTTCAAAGAATTTACCTATGCAAAATTCCTACTGTGATCACAGAAACTTTAATATCAAGTGAAAAAGTCCGTTATAAGACGAACACGCACACACATTCCCAATTTGCCTGGATGTCAGACATGTTTGGAAGAACACACGGTGTAACTCAACATTCATGTTTAATTTGTCATTTCAGAAGCGTGTTGGACGAGACATATACGAAACTAGAGCATCGCTTCTACGAAAACATCAGCCACAAGTCGATGGCACGCCGCTATGGCACATGAAGAAATTTGAAAAGGTAATCTTTGCACTAATAAATACCGCTCAAGGTAGTGACGAAGAATATACAACTACACACATAAAACACAAGTTGTAACAAACCTGCAGCAGACTTGTAGCAATGCTGTTCCAACAACTTGTCAACAGGATGTGTTCGCACTGCTTGTTCCCAGCTTGTTGACAACTTGCTACAAGGTTGTTGAGCTCAACAGACTTGTTACAAGTTGTTCCAACAACTTGTTATCGTCCTGCAATTCAACAATTTGTCAACAAGTTGTGAGTGACAACCTTGTAGCAACTTTGATAAAATAACAGCATTGTTACAACTTGTTGACAAGCTTGCTACAAGCCTGTTGCGAACACTTCTCTCTTCTTGTTGAAAAGTTGTGATATTTTTATGTGTGTAGTTGTTTACATCGAGGTTATAACTTATATAGCGATCTCTTCCTGAATGCCCACATTTCGTCTTGCGTTAACATTTAACAAATATAAAACATTTTCCGTGTTGATATACAGTTATATCAACACGAGTGGAATTGGGAAAACGAGAAATTGTATGGAAACACGACGCCCGAAGGGCGGAGTGTTTTCATACAATTTCGAGTTTTCCCAACTTCCACGAGTGTTGATATAACTATATATCAACACGGAAAAAATGTTTTATATTTTTTTTATAATATAGCAATGTGAAAATCCCGAAGGATAAGAAAAATTTCGTGTCTACAAGCGGCGGAAAATTTCCCGTGTTGACATTGAGTTATATCAACACGGCTCTTAGCCAATCAGCGTTCAGAATTTACAAACGCTATATTATAATGTGTTTTCGTTCTCCATGTAGATTTCACCGAAACTTGAAACTTTCCGAACTTCAGAAGCAAAAACTCAAGCATTCAAACACCATGGGTCTGACAGTACTTCAAGGAAAGGCGTTTTTGGCCACGGACTTTACGAAACAGCAAAAACATAATCTACATGCATACATAGACAATTTATATAGAGTGGGGAAAACTACATTTTTAGACATAGACTTACAGACTACGGAATACTTTGATAAACAATCCAGTTAGATTTAGCAGTATACTGATTATTACTGAGAGTGTAAATATTTTTATAATCTGTATGTTGTAATGCAGAAATAAACAGAACTATAACCTTTTCAATGACTACATATTCTACTATTATGGGGTGTTTTTAAATTCCGAACATTTTTTAGGCCATGCCCATGTTACATGTACATTTTGTGATTTTGTCAATATACTGTATCTTCAACAACCCACGTACTTCGTAGTCTTCGTGAAATACGAATCGTGTTACCGGTTGCATGCTTTTATATACTACGAAACTGAATCTTTTTAGTTTTGTCAACATAGGTCTAATACTGATTAGGCATGTATATTTTTGTCAATAATACAATATATCTTCAACAACACAATTACTTCGTCAAAGCTCCTCTATTACACCTTTCACTATTTAGTCAATTCTCTTTTAATCCCAGCGGTATAAGATTGTCTAGTTTATTCATATCGTAAAAAAACCAGTAAAAGACAGATTTCACTAAGCACAGGGGCGTGGCGAACGACTCCAGATTGGGGGGGGGGGCGTCATACCATAATGACCAACTTTTTCAATGAAAATGACCAACGTTTTCGTGTTTAAAAAAATTTTTCTCGAAAAAAAATTTTCGGTCAGTGTACCATTTTAGGGGTAAAAAAAATTTTCCGGACCTATCGCATTTTTCGCGACATTAAAATTTTTTCGGATATCACAAATTTTCTCCGTTTATCAAAGAACTTTTTCTAAAATCCTGAAAATTTTTTGGATTTTCTAAAATTTTTGTAAATAATATAAGATTTCGTTTAATATTTAAATAATTGCTTTGACCAACTTTTCAAAAATTTTGACCAACTTTTCAAAGTTCAGAATTATTGCCCAAGACCCCCAGTCACCACGCCCCTGACTAAGCACTATCGAGCAGCAGATGGTGGTCATGCAACCTTATCAGAGTAGAATGTTAATTCTTCTTATTGTACATATGTAAGTAGACTATAGTACTGTATTTTGTGATCAATAACTAGAATTGAGAGACTTTAATTTGCTCGCTCCTATAACTATAAGTATTAACCTTTTTGACCACCATCAATTTCTTTTGAATTGTGAGTGGTCAATTAGAACTGCTTCACAATTCAAAATAAATTCACTGAAAATATTTCGACGACGAAATATTTCTCTGAGTGGAAATCCACCACTGATACTGTAACCCATGGATCAAGATATATGTCTAACATTTGCATAATGCAATAAGCAATAAGCACTCCATGAAAGAATGCTAAATATTTAACCAATATGCACTTCTAAACAAATAACATGAAATAAGATTCCACCTATCTTATTGCTCCAGTTTTTCTTTCTTTGTCGCTGGTTCCTCAGTGCTTCCCGATAATGTTTCCCTCTTCTTGGGAGATTTTTTAAACCAATTGGTGATTTTACCCCTTTGTGCTTTTTTCTCAGCAAGAGATCTGGAAAGGATAACATTTGATGACAGTTGCAACTCTCATTCAACGTCTGAACGCTCATCGACTCTCGTCAACTTTGAGCTGGTTCAAATTTTCATAAGAGTTGATGAGAGATTGCTTGTTAGCCTCGAAAACATCTCCAACTTACAAGTCAATTTCCTTGGTACAGTCTGGTTCTTTATATCTGGAGTTATTAACAGCTTTTGAGACTGGATGCCAGTCCAGGCAGTCATCAGGTGAAAGAAGTTTTAAAGCCTAAAAAATAGGTTGTTCATTCTTTATTTGCAAAAGAAAACCCAACTTCTGAAAAAGTTGGGTCTTCTTTCAATAGTTACTGCAAGAATATTGCTTTAAGCCCAAAATATACAAAGCTTACCGGAACTTGAAAATTTGGCATGCATGACAATTTTAAATCAATTATCCAAGCAGTATACAATATTGTAGCCAATATTAGATAAAAGTAATTCAACAAAACCGCTATAATAACCTGTTCATATTTTATTTCGCTACCATCAAGCCATTGTCGCACCGCTTCTTCGTCTTTCAAAACTGCCTGAAAACATTAATGAGTTGCTCTAGATTTTAAACTTTAACATCTGAAGTTTTCAATGTAGTTGATTGTATACTTACTGGAACTCTGTGATGAATGCTCCTAAATGGAGCTTTAGCTTCCAGAGTGATAACCGAATAACTATATAATGGTTCTTCCTCCTAAAAAATACCACAAAAGTAGAGAAGGTATAGTCTTATACTCTAGTCTTATAATCCCTTTAAATTTGTTAACACTTTAAGTAGCAATGTGCCCTACTTTATTATTTTGCTCTGTCTAATGCCAGATGATTTTATTTGTCAATAGGAGAGTGCTGGCACTCAATGGATTAATACAAGGTTGAGAAAAGACTGTACCGAGGAAGGTTGCCACACGTCAAATATTCCAGCCATGGTCAACAGAGGTCTGTCTGATTTCATTTCATCTTCTTCGTTATTTTCTTCATGTTTTACTTTTTCTTTGAAGTAAATAAAATATGGCTGCTTCTGACCACCACCTTTCACTTCTTGCCATTCATAGAAACTATGTAATCAACCATAAATATTTGAAAATATGGCTGTATACAGTGCCAACCTCAACATGTTTAACCCATTAAGCTGCAGAGATTCCCCATTGACGAGTAAAATCGTCTGGAGTTAGACAAGTAAAAAAAAAAAGTAGGGCACACTGGGGCGCATTGCAGCTCAGCGGGTTAACTAAAGACATTGTCAGATTTTTTAGTTAACCCATTAAGCTGCAGAGATTCCCCATTGACGAGTAAAATCGTCTGGCATTAGACAAGTAAAAAAATAAGTAGGGTGCACTGCAGCTCAATGGGTTAACCATGATATTTAACCACAAAGCATTCTGAGTATTTTCTTGTCAGCTCAAAAATCAATGAAATCATTTCAAGAAATTGACATGCACGAACAATAGAAGTTCGGCTAATCACTATTCAAAAAACACAAAATGTATGGTCAAGCAGATTTTTTTAAGGGTGGTGCTGGAAATGGGATGTACATGAACATGGAATGGCACTCTTGGGAAAAGGTCAAAATCTATTGTACCCAACAGATCAATTCTGTGTTCGACTCTACTAGATACCATAATTTTTCTTTGGGTACTCTGGATAAGGGATTTCACTGTATCTCTGATGAGAACAGTTTAGAACTGAAAGAGCTATCCAGCATAGATTAAAAATAAAAGTTAGGTTTATTCAGACAGCAGAACTACCCTTCAGCCAGCACCACACATCTTCTTCCCCTTTCCAAAGCTCCTTTGAAAGATTTCTTTTCAGTGATTGACTCAATTCTGGCATTGTTCATCTTGTAACCAAACGAGCCTGGATCCCCTCGATGCCATGATGGAACCAGACCCCATTTCATAGCCTGGAGTTCTCTTTCATCATCTGAGATCTCTTGCTTTGTACTTTGAGCTCCAGATTTACACGATACTAGAACAGGCCTGAAATGAAGCCCTTGGTTAACCCAAATAACCACTTCTTGGTCAAAAATGATGTTTTCACAATTGACTTACGTGTACGACTGAGGACTGATATTATACGATGGAAAATATTGACTGGAATCATTGTTTTTCCATTTCGGTTGTCTTTTGTTGCCGTTTCTATCTTTGTATTGACATGCTTTGGGCAAAACATCCGGATCTAGGGTACTTCCAAAAAAATAACATACATGCACATACAGTACTGTTGTTTTATAATACATCTATGACTATAAGGCAAGTTTTATACGTCGAATTTTGGTCTTAAGACAATAGACGAGATGATAAACCTCATTAAGCTTCATTATCTATTGTTTGAATTGCATTCGACATATAAAACAGGCCTAAGGTTAAAGACCAGCAAGTTTTCTATAACAAGTTTTCATATACTAGCTCAAGACTCAAGTGGTTCATAGCGCAAACTAATATCGAAGTGACTATATGACCGGCAGCCGGTCACGGTTTATCAAATACTAAATGGCCGGCAGTCTAGTGACTATAGTTGAATATAAAAACTTTTGTTTGCGTTAACTTTTACCGAGCTTGTCGTTAGCTCATACGGCAGGCATGT